AAAGCAAGTTGAAAACTCAAGGCCAGAAGTTAACAACAACTTGAAGTTTTCTTAATATGAACTGTTGTCGACGAAGTTTTTAAATGTGATATGCTAAGAAGTAGATATTTTGAATAGTTTGCAAAGAGGTCAAGCCTTTTTTAAATCTTCTTAGATAAACTTCTCTTTGTATTTAGTATCCAAACTAAAGAAGTTTCTGAGAACAGCAAGTAGAAAAGAAAACTTAGGAAGCTTGAAAACAAAAAGATATGATAAACTCTTTTTAGTTGAAAACTTATAAAACCAAAACTCCTCTTACTGCTTTGATGCTTCTAAAACTAATTTTTGGCAAAAAGTGGAGATTAGACTACTCTTCGTCAAAAGATCAGCATTGTTTACTACTTCCATATTCAGTGACTCTGTGACATAAATACAACAAACATGTGACTATATAGGAAGTAATTTATTTCTTATTTGGGAATATGACCCTGATATATTAAGAACTTAGAAGGTTTTTAAGGACTTACACACCAATTAGATGAAATGAGACTGGGAAAGCACATAGAATCGATATATTTGTTATACTTTAGAATGGAATATAGATTTAAAATTGGGACAATAAAGAGAATTTGAGATATGCAGTCTAACAACAAAGTTATATATATATAATTTTTAGGTCTTGACACAGGTCAAAATGCATTTAGCTTAGTTTTCTTTTTATATGTTAGCTAAGTTCTATATAATTATTACAATCAAGTAGATAAGTATCCTGGTTAGCAGGTACCAATTTGTTAGATAGGTTCTTTAGTTTTATAATTAGTACTTTAGATTTCTTTTATCAGTTCAGTCATTTTCTTATTTGTTTTGTTTTAAAATATCTCCCTTCTCATAATTTTTCTTACCCTATTTGCTCTTCAGAATTTTTTTTGTTAGGGAATTTTTCTTCAGATTGGTGATATACTGTATTATATAGGGTAGTGATCCTGACAAGGTCAGTGGGCACCTACTGCAGATTCTTGGGATATAAATTCTCAGTAAGTTGGGAATCCCAGACGAGGTAAAGATGAACCACTTAGGCGGGTTGCACCTGGGTCTTCCTTGCAGAACTTTTTTTTAAGGTTCTTGTTAAATAGATCGAGTGATTCTTTATTAGTACAGGCATATATAGTTCTACTAGGTAGTTTAGCCGCTACAGGGGTATTCTACGCCAATTTAAATAATAAAGGAAGGATCGCTGAAACAAAAAAAATATATATAATTTAAAGTTAAATCTTTGTTTTAACTTTAATAGAATTCTAAATTCTAATTTTAAAAAAATTACTATTTTATAAAATTAGATTCAATATTAAAATAAAATTTACTTTGTTTAATAAAAATTAAATTATAATTTAAACCAAAATTTTTAAGAATTTTCACTATAATCTATTTTTTACTATAATCTACAATAATAATTATAAAACAATTTTATTACAATTTTTAGCATCTACAATAATATTATATAACGCTTTTCTATAAATTATGCAAAGCTTATGATAATATCTGTAAACGAATTATTGGAAATAATCAAGAACAGTATGTTCAAATACAGAAATAGCTCTCGAGAACATGCCACTGAGCCTATTAAGAGCATGTACCAAAAATTATTAAGACGAATGTTAGGGCAAGTAGTTCTATTTCTAGAGTACCAGACGAGTATTATATGTTCAAAATGTAATGAACAGCCCATTACGATTCTGGCCATTCAAAGTATGCAACAGCACGTGTAAGTTTCTATAAAGTTTCTATAAAAGCTTAAATGAGAATTTTATCACTATTTATAAATTTTTTTTTTTTTATTCTTTAAAATCGTGGTATGTAATATTCGCCGTCTGTTCCTTTCTATGAATTCTAACAATGGTGAACGTTTAAAACACTTCTAGACGATCTAAATAAGGAGAAGGGCTGAAATGAAGATGAAGGAGTAATTGTTCGTCGTAGCCAAATCGGGAATAAGTCGGGTGGGACTGATGACTGGATAACATGTCTGTAAAGTTATTGCTATCCAGAATTTCCAGTGTATCCATTCGTTTTTTTTTTAAATGAGTTCTACATGTTAAACAAGATTAGATTAGTAACATATTACCGTAAAGTGGGTGAAGCTTTAAAAAGGTTGATCCCTATTACGTTAATCTAGGTAATACTAAATTTGATCAATTCCCGAAAATTTTTTGGGTGATCAAGAATGACATAAAAAATTGTATATAATTGAATATAACTGAAGAATATGTCAATCAATGAATTATTCCAAATTGATACGGTGAATAATTTGTGTGCTAACATGTAATGATATCATTGACATTTTTTGCAACTCTAAGTAGGGACGACAATGATATTGAAACGATAACGAGATAACGATGAGTCATAAAAAGAACTACAGGACAGAAATAACTGAATTGACTCGAACGTTAGTATAATGGATCGACGATTTGCAGTTATTATTACTATCAATGTTTTTAGAACACAATCTCAATTGATTCTATCTCAAGATTTGCTACAATATAAAAAGGTTCTTCTTTTTATAATTATTGCACCGCATTTAAGGGCCACATTCCCATATATAATATAATCATGCAATTAAAATAATTCAATCAATCATGCTGAATTTTTTTATAGTGGTAAAATTCGTTGACTAATGGCATCTTTGAAGTATACCAATACGTTTCGTTATCTAACCTATTTTAAATTGAAGGTTTGAGTTACGTAATACTCGGATAATTTGGGAACCAATACTAATAATGGTTAAAGGGCTTTGATCAAGTTTTATCGCCAAATCTTGAGTTATGAACGATGGTCCTTGCGGTGATGTTTATGCATGCCAATATCAATAATTGTTGTTTTTTTACACCAAAGCATGACGATTTCTAGAATCAATTTTCTTAAACATAAAAAAGGTCATAACTGATTGATTGAAAATTCATCGCACCAACCAGAAAATTTATGATTTATTGATATAAAAATTTTTTAATGAATGCGATATTCACAATGACATATACATGCAAACACGCCTTTAAAAATTTATATCGTGAAATCATTGATCATCCCAGAAACCTATATATAGTTTTATTACATATGCACAGATTTAATATATTTATAAATAGATTAAAAAAAATATATAAATAACAGTAAATAAATAACAGTAAATATAATGATCACAAACTTTAAATTTTAAGTCTCAAATATCAATAGCGCGATAACTGTATGCAAAGTAACCATATTTTAATAAATGTGTTCAAAACTAAATCTTTCACATTGAAAAAAAAATTTCTTCCGTTAAAATATAGATTTTGACTATCAAAAAATGATTTCTTCAAACACGTTACTTTTCAATAAAAAACATTCTGTTTATTATAGAGAGAAACATCATTTTCTCTCTTTACCTTCACCTCCTCCTTCACCTCATGAATCAGCATTGAAAGGATTATTTGGAATCAGTGAAGTGTTGCCTAAATTTGACGCCATCAATAATAAATTTAATAAATTGCTTAACTCACAACAAAATGAAACGGCAAATACTTTTTTTCCTTCTATAAAATGTTTATTAGATACGCCAATCGACCATTTAGATAACATTAGAAAAACAGAGCCGATAAATAAAACAACGCCATCACATTGTCTTTCTAGATTTTCATTATCAAATGCTAAGT